TTCCAACTTAATGGTTTGTAACAGTCACGCTTTTAAAATATGTTTAGCAATACTGAAAATATTTTTGGTAAGGAAGGTTGAGGATTGGAAGGGAGGAAGAGAAAGAACAATAGGCATAAGTAAGGAAACAAAGGTAGAGAATGGAATAATGTCATTGATTAAACAAAGGAAAAAACAATTGAAAATGAGATGTACTGTACTGTATAATTATCTATTCAGAGAACATCGAGGAGTATATGAAATAGGAAAATAGTGAGCAACTAAATATTGACATGTTATTTTATGTGTACATATTAATTATCATGTATTGTGTACGTACTGTATTTGTTGACACTAATTTAGCCCTCGGAGTTTTATGCTTGCTTGTTATGTAATCATGCAGTTGTTATCTTCAGGTGATTTTGATATTTTTAAATATTAGACATGATTCAAACATTGTGTTTCCAAGTAAATAGTAATCAGAGAATAAAAATATCTTTAATTTTGCACGTTCGAAATCCTAGTCATGTCTTATATTTCTGATTGATGTGAGATGATGTATGTAGTTTGCTAAGATTTTTGATTTTACACAATTAAATTTAATCTTTTTACTTTGCTTTGCTTTGCAAGTAAATCACTGTAGGTGCGTGTGATCTAGGTATATGATGATAACCACAAGGAAAGAAGAAAACACGAAGGGAACTTCGTGTTTTCTTCTTTCCTTGTGGTTATCAGCATATATATATATATATATATTTTGTTTTGTTTTATATAATTTTTTGGCATTTTTTCTACATTGTGTTGTTATTGAAGGATGTACTGTACTGTATAAGTAAAAAATGGTGGTGTTATATGGTTTTGACATGAGCATTTCTGTAACACATTGTGAAAGCTTGTCAGTATTATGCATTTGTTTTCCCTAACCATGTCTAGAGTTTCCATCTCTATGAATAAGGGCATATAACCATACATATTGCCTGTAAACCTAAGATTTTTTTTTTATACTGTACCTGTCCTAGACCATCCCAGATCAAACACTGTAATTCTTATAGACTTAAGAAAAAAAGATTTGGTGAGGGAATTCATAGGAGAATTTACCAGATTGACACTAAAGTTAACTTGGTGCTGTATTCTTTTTGGTTAAGAATTAGTTAAGTTGATTGTGTATGATTTGTTTGGGTGGTAAGAGTTAGTCATGTTGATTGTGTATGATTAGTTTGTGTATTTTCTAGACTGCATTTGTTCCACCTCATTTTGTTTGGAGTAAAGTAAACTAAAGACAGAGTAAATTTGGAATGAAAAGTTCGGGTGTAATTAGCTAGTCATTGAAAAAATGCAATAACTAATCAACAAATATTATGAACAAATGAATAACTACTAGATGAAAAATATTAAGAACTTAATGAATGAACAAATTACTGGTGTGATGATTTATTATTCACTAAATGATTATTGAGTTGTTAAATTTACTGTTGTTAAAATAGGCAAAATATTCCTAATTTTTATTTTTGTTTGATTTGTCCAGAACACTTTAAGATTTAAGTACATGACGTTTGGAGTTTGATATACGGTGTTTACTTTAATTGTCATCTGTCCTCATTCATGTTAGACACTCCCACATCAGCTACAGCTAAGGAGTCATACCTGGGCCCTGAGTTGACACATTAATCTTTTCAAAACCTGTGTGTGTATAGTACAGTATGTGTTTAAAGATGTTCATAATGCGTCTTGTAAGCCTATAGTACTGGTCATTAGAACTGTCAACCTTGGAACTTAGATATGTACTTGAACTTCTGTATGTTGGGGGAAATATGGTATTTCTTCCCATCATAACTGATTTGTGTACATATGTTAAAGTTACGGGGTTAATAGATGTCATAGCTTTGATATCTAGACCTGTAGATATGTTATAAACAAGTTTGCAGTATCATGATAACTTTAGATGTCGCCTGATGTGAGCTGCTGTTGTCATTCCACTTTACCTCCAACTATTTGTTCTACTGCACTCTCTTGCTCGTACAAAGTACATGAGCAGGATGTATGAATGTGACATACAGTATACATGTATTATTCTCATACGTACTTGAGCAGGAAATTGAAAGTAATTACAGAAGGATAATAACAAACTATCAGAGATGGGATATACCAAGACTCATTACTACATTTATTTAAAGGAAATATACAGTTACACCAATAATTAATGTTTCACTCCATTGTTTGTCCTTATAATTTTTTACCATAACTAACTTTTGCAAGAAAAAGATTTTTTAGAAAATTATCTGGACCTAAGATATGGGTATAGAAAGATGGGTACAGTACTGTACTGTACTTGTTTTACATGCAGAGTGTGAAGGATAAAGGTCCATCTCTGATATATTTACTGTACTGTACTCACCAGCTTTGAGTTTTGAGAAGAGAAGTCTTTTCTATTGTGAAATCTGAGGAAATTGATTGACTTGTTTTGTACTTTTTTAATTTTCATATATGTTTTGTATTTACTACTTCTACTTACACTCATGCCTCACTTAGCACCACCCCTGCAGAAAATAAATACCGTATTATAAAAGAAAAGAATTATGAAAACTCTTAAGTGTTTCAAAAGTTACATGGCCATCTTTCCTTATAGTCATTTAGCCAGTGAGAGCAATGTACACTCGCTCCAAAAGGTATGAATTTCAAAATGAACACCACTATTCTTGTTGTCTCAATAGGGTTGTCAAAATTCTTCGTCCATTGTGTCATATTGTCTCGCACAAAATAGTAAAGATACATTTTGGAGCGAGTGTACAATCAACCCTTACCATAACTAGTTTTGAATGCTGCCCATCGATGTTTACTCCTACTTGGTCTCACTTTTCACCTTATTTTCATGTGCTTTTTGTAAGCATCTTAGATCCATAATGTCTGGAAAAAGGCCTCCAGGTGGTAGTGCTGGAAATGTGACAAAAAGTAAGTGTTAAGGCAATGATTGAAGTGGGGGAGTGTCAGGTGGATGGCTTACACTTGGCTACATCAACCATTAGTATTTGTCAATAATTACTGATGTTATAGTAAAAAAAAAAAATTATTATTTGTGAGATATCTTACTGTACAGTACTGTGGTTATTATCTGCATTTTAATTAGCACTGTCACTAGTATCCCAAGCCTCATATGTAAGAAATAACTCTGTTGGGAATGCATCTCCCTAATGACCTCTTTCAGTGTTGATTTGATTCTTGTTCAGTTCTTCAGTTAACATCGTGAGGACTAAGTGAGGTATGCGTTTGTTTTTAGACAAGAGTACATATTGTAACAACAATTTGAATGTTATTTTTTGGTTAATGGTTTTTATCAGGAAAGTTTAGCATGTGCACTATGATTCATTTCTTATAGCTTTATATAAATTTTGGGGGAGTGAAGTTTAAAAATATTTGTATGACATATATTTTTCTTTTATTTTCCTTGTAGGGTTTACAGTATTTATAATATCACGTATCAATTACTTTTTTAGGGAGGACTTTCAGCCGTATGTGTGTCTTTTCTGATTTATTTTTATTCTATTTTTCTTCCCTTGAATGCATTTTTCTATTGAAAATTTTCCTCCCCACTCCTCCTCCTCCTCTTCTCATTTCCTATACTGTATTTCTCTTTGATTTTCTGTTTCATAGTCCTCTCCTTTTCTGCTTCTTCCTCATCCTCTATTACTCCTGCTTCCTTTATCCCTTCCTCCATATTTCCTCTTCCTCCTTTTTTTATCTCCTTCCATCTTTCAACTTCTCTCTCATTCATATTTATCATCTTTCTTCATGACTCTTATTTTTTCTTTCTTTTCCGAAACAATCATATTTTCACTTCAAATTTGCCTAAACTCTTCTCATCACACACACTGTAACAACATTGGATCACCTGAATATTTGCCACTGCCTCCTCCCTCTCCAGCTTATTTCACTTTAAAACTATCCACCCAAATGAATACATAACATAACCTAATCCAATACAACATAACATAACCTAATCTAATCTAAAGATAACCTAACTTAAAGTAACCTGAAGATTAACCCTATTTATTTCACCTTCAAATTATCCAACCTAATGCTAACAATACTAATATGACATAACCTAAACTAATGTAGCCTAACCTAACCAAGCATTAGCTATCCTGACCTAACCTAGCCTATCTAATCTAACCTAGCACAATTTATTTCATTTAAAGATTAACCACGCTACTGGCACTGCTAAGTGATAAAATGGATGACAAGAAGGTACATGTTGTGCTTAGAATAGGAAGAATGGCAAAGAAATAGAAATAACAGAAAGCATATGGAGCTCAGTAAAGCCTCTAAGTGCTACAGGCTCTTGTATAAAGGGGAAACCAATAATAATTCATGCACATCATATAGAGGAATGTGTGCTGAGTAACAGAAAAAGTGAAGAGAATGTGATGCGACACTGAGTGGCTATAGTGATCCTCGAACTAAGTCATCATGATTATTACTTAAAATAAGACAATTGTCCAGACCTCAGACATTCAAGAACCCTGGCAAGATATCATACATGACGAACATAACTCAATACTGTACTGTACTACTTCACTCAGTACAGTAGCAGACTTAAGGAACAGTCTAGCAACCCAAGCTGTGGAATCGAGAACAATACTGAGTTTCAAAATAACTATCAGAAACAGTGTAGAGATCCTTCACTGGCCTCCAACTCACGGCATAGCCACCTCTAGTTGTGTGCACATAACTTCCATTAAACTTATGGAATACCTGAAGGATCTCTACCCCAAAGTGTCTACTTGAAGAATATCTACCCCCGCCCTACCTGAGGTGGAATTCTTCAGGTGATCCGGTAGATACAGGATTACAGGTAGACCTTTTTGATACTTATTGGGGCTAGTACATTCTAAGTACTTGCTAACAGTGTGTAACAGAGACATGACCGACCGTCCAAGCGATTAAGAGGCCAATCAGTGGCGAAGAGGATAAAAATAAGCTAACATTTGTGTTTGAACTTGGCGGGGCTGAGGCGGCTGACGGTGGCGGCGCTGGTGCAGGTAAACAACACGACGCCGGACGATGACACCAACCAATACTGTTACTCCTCTTATTTAACAGTTTATTGCAGGTATTATTATTGCTGGTTTTTTTGTATCATTACAGAAGGTGTTGTAGGCAATATGAAAGACATTTTTTAATGTATTGTGAGTCGATGTGTGATTGTGAGGGCAGGGGAATGTTGTAGGTCGGGGAGTCTTTGGGTTGACCTGAAATTTTGTTTATGATTATATTTCGTGTTATATTTAGTTAGTTCATTTCGTAGTTGTTTGTAAACTACTGATATATTTTTACGAGGTGTAAATGTACAGTGCTTTCCAAATTTTGTCCTACAGAATAACAGTAGGTAAACAAGACATTATGTTGAAGGAAATTGACACAGGCATTAGAAAAAATGGTAATGTATGAGAACAACTCTCGGCCCATCTTAAATAACCAACTGGGTCCACACATTACTAACTCGGCCCACCTTGCACACTTCAAACAAGTAGCTGACTAGAGGTTCAGGAATGGGTTGAGATATGTTTTATGTCTCTTTTGGTTCACTGAAATACGAAGAGGGTGAATGAGTGAATACCGAGGGTTCAATCAGTATGAAGGACGAATTTTATGAGTTTATGTTAGTAGAACTTGATCAATGAACCATGATTCACATTCGTAACTTGTGCTTCTCCTGGTGATTTCAAATAGGGTTTGAAATTATTGCTTCCAGCAATTTGCCTACAATTGATGATAAACTGATTGGACAGTAGTTAGAGGATAGTGATCTATCTCCCTTCTTGAAAATCGGTATCACATTTGCTATCCTCCAGGTTTATGGTACTACACCCGTTTTTAATGACATGCTAAACAAATTTGCTAAGAGCATACTAAGCTTTTCCTTACATTCCTTTAATACTTGGGCAAATATCTCATCTGGACCTGGTGACTTATTTGGCTTTAGCTTGTCTATTTGCTTACTAACGTCGTTACTAGTCACCACTATCTCGCTTAATCTATTTTCTTCACTATCTCTGTATATAATCATGGCCTCGGGTATCATGTTTAAATTATCGGTGGTGAAAACTTGAAAAATACCTGTTCAGATTATTGCTCGTTTCTCCGTCATTATCAGTTAGCTCGCCGGTATTGGTCCAATCTTGTCTCGTGTTTTAGTTTGATGCATTTGAAAGAATCCCTTGGGGTTTAACTTCGCCGCCCTTGCTACCTTCAGTTCATTATTCCTCTTTGCTTTTCTTATCTCGGTCTTAACCCTACTGGTCAATACCTTATAATAATCTCGGAGGTAAACTTCACGATTTATTCTCCAACCTATAGCCTTTCTTTGGCCAATAATATTCTTTAAATAATTATTTTTCCATTTGGGTTCAGTGTTATTTGATCCGAGTTTTCTGTATGGTATGTTCTGCCATTGTGCATTAAGTAACTCATTATTTAAATTGTTGTGGAACTCGTCAACCTCAGATCTCGTGATCAGGTCATCCGCAACCGTCATATTTTGTGAGGGTGTCGTTGTCAGGTCTCCAGGTAAAGTGATCTTAATTGTGAACTAAATATAGAATGTAAAATTATATATAAAATAAAAAAGATCACCTCTTCCACATATGTACGTTAATATATTATTAAGATAGAATGAAACAATAACAAATCAATTCCCCCCCTTACAATCTATGCTGCTTTTTATCATTCATGTAAAAATGTGTAAACTTTTACTTTTTAGTCCTAGTTCATTAACCAAAGTGGTCAAAGTTGGTTATCCGAGATGGTCCGAGTTGCTATTTGATGGTCCGATTAGGATGTGGGCCAAGTTGGCAATGGGCCAAGTTGGACTGTATTCCACTGCTACCACCAGAAGGAGTTGTTCGATTTTGTTCATTTTTACCTCATGTTATATATCACTGTGTTTTATAGTGGATACTGTCGTGGTTATGGCAAATGTGTTAAAAAGTGTTTATATAAAAGTTCAAGTTAACCTAACTTAACCTTAAGCTGGTAGGGATACACTCCATTCGTCATCAACCCGGTTCGTCATCAAAACCCCATTTCGTCACCAGTATCAAATCCGTTTCATCACTAACAGTCGCTGGTATTAGTGACAAATTGTAAGCTATTATTTTACACGAATAGAAATTACACATGTATACAGACAACTTGAGAAGTATTGTGAATTTACTGTTACTGAGATGTGGGGAAGCGTCGACAACCTTTTATTTTAATTATAATTATTTTTTGTAATGTCCGAGAACAGCACATTTGCTATACAGTACATAATTCACTTTAACGAGTTTCGCATTAACAATTCATCACAATAACGACAGAAGGAAATGCGACACCTCAACACAATAACAATCAGTAACGCAAGTTGATAGTCACTCTGGGTGGCCATCTTGATGATCTCACTTGTCAACGAGCGGTTTGTTTTTATCAAAGCATGTGAACAGGAGGTGTGGTGTGTCGACATTCGAGAGGGAGATGACGACACTGTTGATGATAATGAGTTTTACCTGTGTGTGATCTGTTAGATGATTTACCACTAGACTTTACTGGATTTGAGACTGAAGGATCAGTTGGTGGTGGTGCTGGGGAAGCAGAGCAGTGTGGGGGCAGGGGGGCACTATCACCACTCCCCTGCCTCGGATGACAACAAACAGTCTCATTAAGCAGTTCATTGAGTGTCCAAAGGTTAGTTATTATTAACTCTACATGCTGTATTAATGTGTGTGAATAAGTGGTTGTAATTTTTTTAGGGGTTTATAGGGGGTGAAAGTGTCTGAGGGCTGGTACCAATTGACCCATTTAGCATGTAAACTATACTCACCACATTAACGTTTCACTTTAATAGCTGTTTTCATGGTACCATTTAGTCATTAAAGTGAAGTATGGGCTGTAGAAGAAAATGGGATGAATATTTGTATTACAGTATTGTGAATTGAACAAATGTGACCATTATTTTTGGGGCAAATACATATTTAATCAGATACAACCATGATTTGAACAATGTGGGCAGGGCTCTGAAGGTAAGGAAAAATATTGGATTAAACATACAAAAAAAACACCAAACAAACTCTTGAAAACCTGACCTAACCTAGAAAAGTCCTAATTTTATAAAACACTTAACCTTATATCTCTTCTCAGGAATGTTTATCTAGCATCCTTAGTCTGGCTACTACAAGTATCGAGAGTTCCTTAGAACCATTCTGGGAGTTTTAATACAATGTAAACAGTTGCTGAATCTCACAAAATGCACCAGCCACTGTATCAGGTGTAAGGTCAGGCAACTATACCATTAGTTTGATTGCAGTGTCCCTTTCTCCACAGCTATGGCCAAGTTTTCCTCAAATTTTGTACAATGCAGTGCAAAAGTAATTTTATTAAGTGTACCAATATCAAGGGCCACCCACAGAAAGTACTGCACTGTACTGTACATGACAATTCAGACACCATCCTCAACCAGCTCATAGTGATGTTGCCTCCAGTTGTTGTATCATAAATAACACTTAAAGCCTGAAATTTGTTTTAGATGAAGTTTTGATATGTACATATGCAGCTACTGTTATATACAGTAGACAAGTTGACTTCAGTATTTGCCACAGTAGCTGGGAATTGGGAATCACAGTCAAGTAGAATAGCAGGATATTATAATTGTGATAATTGAGAATAACCCATCTAGAAAACTCAGTGCCCCAAAAATCACATTACAGTATGTAATGTACTGTACTGTGTATTGAATTGCTTCAAATTGATTTAGGGAAAACCCTAAATTACACATTTGTACATAGGAACACGTACATTACTCTGTGCAATAGAATAAATTCTGATCTTTGTCATTATTAGTAGAGTAAGTATTATTTTTAATAACTTGAGGATTTTTTGTAAACATTTGTTAATTTACACAGGCAAAATGGAGAAGCCCCAACCTCTGAAGAATGTACAGGATTGTACAGACATAAGTGATTGTGTGGAGATGTCTCGAACCTCGGGTCTGTATCTCAAACCTATAGCACGCCTCAGTATCACCGTAACACTACCACAGCTCAAGTCGGGTCAGTCCATCTCCAACTGGGAGGTAAGGAATTTAATAATGACGATGTTTATGAATCTTCATTGTAAATTATAATCTATAGCTATCATATATATTCTATACTGTACGTACATCATTGCACAGTACAGTATGCAGTACATATTACTGTACTTCAAGTTTTACTCGTACATTACATGTACTAAACCAATATTTGTTACTTGCTGTGAACAGGTACCACAGCACTCACCTTTGTTCTAAAATCCATATTCTTGCTTTTGTCTCTTTTTTCTCCCTTATTCAACATTGGAATTATTATTTATCATTTTGATACTTATAATCCAGTTCTGTGTCTGCACTCCAGTTATTACTATTAAAGAGTTCACAAATTTAGGAATGAGTAAGATAATGATGTGTACGTCAGTAATAATCTTATGTATGAGCAGGATCCAATATCCGTTGAAGCCTAACACATCATTAGGGTCTCTTAGGTATAAGGCAGGATTGGCAGGGATTAATCCACTTTTCCCTTTGTAGGAATGGCCACAGCTTTGCAAAGATTATGATCATGCTAAACTATCTAGCTTGAGTGGATTGCATCATATAACAGTAAGATACATAAAAAAGATTTCATCATTATGTCTTATGGTTTACCTTCAGGTTATGGAAAAGCTGCGAACTGCCATTTTGCCTGAAGTGTTTTCTGTGATCAAGGTTACAAAGAGCACACTAGAGTTCCTCAGGTTTGATGCTGAAATTGAAAATAGAAAGAATCTGATGCAGGTCATAGGAAAAATTGATCAAAAGGTAAATGTTTCCTCAGTTTTCCTTTTATTGTGTTCTCTGTAGGTTTAACTTAAGATAATTATAGTTCTTTCCCTTATCTTCTGAAACTTAATGATACAAGGTTTTTATGGGTGGCTCATAGCCAGAGGTCGTCCCTTTATAAAAAATATATCAGTACAGTACTGTTTTGTGTTACTGCCCACTGTGTTTGTTTAGCATACTGTACTGTACATGTTATTTCCATTTTCAGGGTATCAAACTGAGTGGGTTCTCTGACTTGCTAAAGATTCGAGCCACAGAAGCCAAAGTTCCTTTCCCATCTCGCCATGACTGGGACTGCTTCTTCAGGGATGCAAAGCACATGAATGAGATGAAGCCCGGGGAAAGACCTGATACTGTCCACTTTCAGGTCAGTCACGTTACACAAACGTTTTCCTGAAAATCATGAGCACAGGTGTGATTCTTTCCACTCTGAGGCCAGCTAAAGATGTCTTCTTATTTTTTAACAGTGAGATGAATGAGTAACGACTGATATTGCCCACCCAATTTAGTTACATAAGTGTTTTCTTGAAAATTAGTAAGGTGATTCAATGAATGTGAGAATAATACTGTGTATGTTTTTGTAAGTTTCACAGATAATCTCTTGGTTGTTTTAAAGATTATTGTGTAAGAACTACCTTCCTCTGTAACAAGCACTGATGACCAAGATATAGGTAGATAAATAGATGCAAACAGTGTTACAGTATTTTATCACTTATATGATTTTTCTTGTTTCTTGCAGGACCTTCCTTGCCGTTGGTTTGCCCACTACAGTGACACCACCACGAACATGCCCAGTGCTTATGTTTTAAGTAAAGTTATGTCCACCTTTGGAGAAGTTAGAGTTGTGGACATTCCCGTGTGTGATCAGTACCGCAAGAAAATGTCAGCATCCATTAATGGCCTCCATACATTCAGCTTTGGCCAAGACTTGATATTTGAGGCTTATGTGCAGTTCAAAGAATATATTGGATTTGCAAAGTGTATGCATGCCTTACAGGGCAAGAAACTGGTATTTAGTAATAATGACAAAGCTTGGAGTGCTAATATCAGGGTAAGATATATTTTATATGTAGTTATCAAGTATGTAAGGACATTTGCTCTCTCTCTCTCTCTCTCTCTCGCTCTCTCTCGCTCTCTCTCTCTCGCTCTCTCTCTCTCGCTCTCTCTCTCTCGCTCTCTCTCTCTCTCTCTCTCATATTGTGGGAATCCGTATTCTGTTATACTTCATGTTTTAGCAGTACAATACAAGTAAGTGTAGAACTATTTAATATTTTAATTAAACCAATAACATTAATTGTGTGGGGTTGTTGATGAGGAAATAATTCTTAGAGGCTTGGACCTGGGTGATGGAGGGGGACTACCAAAGGGTTTAGAGGTGAAGTGTGGAGGAATATTACTTTGTTATGTTGATGGGAGGAATAATACATAGAGGCTTAGTAATGATTAAAGGTGAAGTAATACATAATAGGTGATTGAAGATTACTTAAGGGGAACATGTAATACTCATAGACTTAAAGATGGCTAGTTAGCGAAATAACTGGAGAAGATTCTTCGTATACAGTACCTGGTATCCTATTTAAGGAGAGGGGTTCCCTGAGAGCATAGTATAACTTGTTGGTATTGAAATACTTGAATACTGAAGGAGCTCCTAAGTGAAGATCTTTGAGTGAACAGAGTGATGTGAGAAAAGGGAGTCAAATTAATCCCTGGGTCTAAATTTCCATACAAAAACTTTTTTACGTGGTCAGGGTAAAGTAGATTATCTTTGGGTAAGTTAGTTTAGTTTTAAGTTACTAGTACCTATTGTTGCATTGATTAACCTTGTTTAGAATAAGTTAAGTTAGTTAAGAATGGGTAGGCCACATTATACTAAACTAGTTTGTGTTTAATTAGGTTCTGAGTCTAGGGTATCAAGAAAAGGTGATTTAAATTTTAGGTGGTAGAAAGGGTACAGTCAGCTGAGAGGTGAAGCCTTCCAGTGTTACAAACTAAGATGAAATAAGTTTGTGTGTGTTGAGGCCTGGTGGTGGAAGGGGAACTCTATAGTAGAACACGTCTCTTATGACAAGTATAACAAATGGCAACAATCCAGATGACCAGCACCTTAGTGGGAAAAAACTTGCAAGAATTGAAAAAAAATTATATATGCACTGTAGTGTACATGTATACTATATCCAGTATATAAATAAATAAATAGTTAATACACAAAGGTTTTACGAATGCTGTGATCTCAGCATTAAGTAAAAAGTTGCTTTAAACACAGTTACAATATGTTCATTTGAAGCATTTTGAAAACTTTCAAGAGGTTTGGTCTTACTTTAAACTGTATTGGGGTAGTTATGTATTTTACCTTAAGTGGGTATGTTTAAATACATATAAGTAAAGGATAAATGCTATTTGTAGTTAACAGCCAAATCAGCCTGTAGAATTATAAATATTGCTCTTGATTATTATCTGATATATTAATTTGTACAGCTTGTTGGCTGTTAGAATACTTAGGGAAGACTTTTCAATGCTATACTTTGCATCAGGTTTTAAATCTAAAAAGACTTAATAGCTCAGTGGGCAAATATTTGCCTCGCAAGACAAGTGAACTGGGTTCAATTCCCAGTTTTTGGGTGCACTTGTCAGTGGTGGAACATCCTTTCAGTGGAGTAGCAGCCTCTTGGTCAAAGGTTGGGGTTAAAGGAAAACCTATGTGTGAATGAAAATAAACATTGTTTTTAATTACAATTAATTTATCAGGTTGACTTTGATCGCACCAAGCACCTGTCAGAGTACTCAATAAAAAAACGTGCAGCAGAACGAGAAAAACTTATTGCAGCCGAGCGGGAGAAAGAAGAAAAGCTTCGGAGGAAAAGGGAAATGGAAGAAATGAAAATTGAGGCTGAAAGGTTTGTACCTCATCCTTTCCAAATGAATACTTAACTTATTTGCAGTTAATTACCCAGTTGGCAATACCCAACTTGACATGATGAGAGTACAGTATGTCCAATCTTGCCCAGATTTCTGTAGGTCTGCCTTGTCATAAATTGTTAGCATGATTAATCATAAGTTTTAAATTCAATTATGAATGTTGTTTTACATATGATTCCAGAAACTATTGCATTTGAAAGATTAATGACTTTGAATGCACCATTGACACAGAAAAGTAACCTTTTTAGTACACTTTACTTTAAAAAGAGGGGGATGGCAGCTGAGTAGATACAGCAGTCACCTGCTGTACAAGTTGGTACAGCAGTCACCTGCTGTTCTAAGTTGGTTCAGCACTGATATCCTGCTATGGTTGTATTGAGTGAATGGGAAGTGAAAAGTTTATAAAAAGTGTTTTGAAATTCAGAAGTTGGTAGATACGAGGGAGAGGGGAAGACCAAGACTGATATGGAAGGAAGGAGGTGATGTACTAGATGGAAGGGGTTAGATATCCAGGAAGAAGCTGGATATGGTGTTGAGTGGTTATGGGGATGTCACTACAGGGGTGATGACAGCAGGTGAAGAGATTTTTTTTTCTTGGGTTCTGGTCACCCAGTAGTTTAGGAGGAAAGGACTGTAAGATTAAGAATACATAATAGTGTGGTTCTATATTTTGTTTGTTGCTGTGATGAATTTGCAGCAGTCAAGTTCTTATTTTTATACAAACAGGATGCGACTGGAGGAGGAGCAGAGACTCAAGGAAGAGCGCAAAGAAGCAAAGAGGAAAGAGAAAGAGGAAAGGAGAAAATCAAGGGAGGAAAAGAGACGAAAGAAGAGGCTGGTTAAAGAAGAGGAAAAGGTTAAAAAAGAGGAGGAGGAGGAAGAGGCCAAGTTTGCCAGGAAGATTGCCATGGAGGAGCGTAAGCTGTTACTGGCTCAGCGCAAGTTAGAGAGTATTCGTCTGCTGGATGAGCTCTTTGAGAGGATTAAGGTAACTACAGTAGATCTGTTGTAACTATTTCTGCTCAAATTGCACGTGTAACTCATCTACTCATTCTTTTCCCATCTATGCTCTTGTTTACCAGTTACTCAAACTTAGGGGCCCTCGTGTCTATTTTATTACTTTGCAACTATTTGAGGGAAACTTAGTAGCTATACATTTATATCATCAATTAAGGTACAGTATACTCATGTTCTTTGATATCACACACTCTAGGAGCCTCTTTTAACAATTCAAATTTTTCAGCTTCGTGTATAAATCAGCATTAATTATTCCTTATTTGGGAGGCAATTCTACTTGCTGTTTTATATTACTTCCAACAAACAACTCTTACTTTTCAAATTTTCTTGGTGTTACATTTCTCTTCAGGGCATATGCTAGGTCTGGTGCCTTGGGCAGGAGCTGTGTTTATACTTAATAATGAGGTAGAAAAGGGTTGTGGTAGATTCTGTGCTTACCTCCTGGGTCACTGATTCACTCCCAGAGCAATTGCAGTGCACTCTGCTGTAAATTACTATCTAAATTTATAAGTTGAGGAAGTGAAGGCAGCAAAGTTGCAGTGTTGGCTATGCTGTCTCCTTGCATGCTGAAGCCTTAGTATACAGTATGCTGTACAGTATCTACATTGTCCTTAATGGGTTGTTTTGCTCACAGGGGCCCATTTTCCTTCAAGGTAAAAGGGCCACAGATGAATTGAAGAGGCAGGGATCAAGGGGTGTGTGCTTTGCATGGTGTAAGTCATTAAGCAAAATCAAAGGGCAGTAAGGTGCTCAAAGAATGATTATGGTGAGGCTTGTAACTTGTCTATTGTTAGGTAATTAAAACTTTTGTTCCAGCAATAATTTTAAATGATGCAGATGCTAGTTGAATCAGTCAGTTCGGCCAGCACCCAATTGTTTGTGAAATCCTTATAATATTTCCCATTATTAGACTTAGCAGATAGATGAATCTTTTACAGTTACTAAGTGGTTGTAAGGTGTTTGTTTGCCTTGTTTGCAGGTGGTGAAGCAGAAGCAAGTGGCCAATCAGAGAGAGACAGAACTCTTCCAACATATTGACAAGGAAAACAGCAAAAAAGTCAAAGAAATCAAGAAAAAAGAGGTAAGTTTGTTATTATTAAGAACATCAGGTATTCTATTACTGCACGCTATATACCTGTACACAATAGGACTTCACTGGATGGAAGATGGGGAGAAGGTACAATGTATAAAAGGGGAAGGTATGAAAAGTAACAAATGGAGTGAGAGTACAGGAAAATGGAAGGGATAGAAAGATTTGCAGAGTGACATGATGAAATGAATAGGATGAACATAGGGTTGAATTAATGAACTTAAGAATAAGCCTTTTTTTTTTTCTAAAAACCAGTTTTTGTGATATAGTCCAGAATGCGACGTCTAACTTTATACCTAGGTATGTAAATGCTTAGCATTAATTCGCCAGGCCAACATACAGGCAATTAAAACATCTAATAATTACTTAAATACAGATTTGACTGAAATAAAAAAAGAGAAATAGAGGGAAGGGAATTGAAGGATTAGAGAAAGAAGAGTTGTAGTGTAAGGGAAGGAGAGATAATTGATGGAGGAATGATAATAGAGTAGAAAGAGAAGATGAAAGGGATAGTGTTGTCTGTTTTACTGTACTATATTAGATAAACCAAATAGATACATAGACCTATTACACAAGTTAGAGTGATTGGATGAGAGCTAGTGAAGGGGTTGCTGTTAATTTTGGCCACTCCAGCATTATGTTAGGAAAGGTTTGATAAAGTGGTGAAGAAATGGTTAAGTTGTACCCAAGCTATTATCATGACTGGAGCCTATTCTTAATGGGGAACAATTCCAATGGTTTGCCAATTATTGCTTGGGTTTATTTTATCTATATTTGTCATAGGGAATTTAGTAAATCTCCACTTAGAGAATATTCATTATTTATATTTACTGCAGGAGTCATTTATACTGTATTGTTCAGTGAGATATAAAGCCCCCCTTTTTTTTTCCTACTTGTGAAGATAAAGTATTTCACAGACTTTTGTTCCAACATGAGCTGATAAACAAATTTTTATTTATTTTTTTCAAACTTAGTTAAAGGAACGTAAACTACAGGAAAAAATGGCAAGCAAGGAACGCATGCTGAGGGATAAGCTGGTCCGTTCCTACAAGTCTAGGGAAGAAGACCGCATGGAACAGCAACGGGAAAAGGTTCGGAAGGCAGTTCAGGGAAAGGTTGGTGTCTTTATTTTTCTGCAGATTTTTATTTTTTATTTTTTTCTAAATATGTCAGCAGTGTCTTTCAGTTTTTATTTGAAGATTTATTTAGCATTTCTCCTCATAGTTCTTGAATGCATGTTTAGTGATCATTTGTGATTGTCTGCTTGGTACAGTAATATCTCCGTTAGCCGGAATCCCTCAAACCCGGAATTTTAATTTTCTCGGAAAATCGTTTCCAAAGCCGGAAAATTCCAACTTTGGGAAGGATTTTCCGAGGGGTACATTCTCCGTAAAAATTCTGAGAAAATTTTCCCGATACCTGGAAAATTCCGGGTATGGGGAATTTTTTTTTTCCGGGCTCGAGAGCTGATGTAAGGGACAATTTCTGGAACTTCCGAGAACATTTTTCCGTTACCCGGAAAATTACGGGGATGAGGGATTTTTTTTCTGGCTTTGAGGGAGTCGTCTCGTTACCCAGAAATCTCTCATTCCCGGAAGTGCTCTGCACCAACTGTTCTGGCTAACGGAGATATCACTGTATTTAGAACCAGAGTTGTGTTTAGAAATGGAATTACTGGAGATGGATGATGCTGAGTAGTTTAGCATTGTGAAAAGGGAGGGTACTGTAGTGTTCCCATAATTGCCTATGTCTAATTTACAGCCATTGTCTATTCACTGATTGTCTTTGTTCCTGAACCTGTTTTCAGATTTTCCTTGTCTTAAATATTTTTTAATTGTTCCACAGCTTGAATCATTATTATTGGTTTGTATTATCTGATACAGTATTAGGTTATGTATGTGTTGTTAATTTTTGTTCATACATTCCCTACAGTGGCTCTTCAACCCCCCTTTTATTTTCTCCATAAATGTGTTTCAGGTTCGTCTGCAAAGTGTCATCTCAGCAGCTTCTCTCTCCTCCATTTCGAGTGCCACATCAGAAAGTGATTCAGACTCGAGCTCTGATTCAGATTCTTCAGATTCGTCTTCAACTTCTTCTGATTCAAATGCTCCTAAAGTCCTAGTTGGTAAGAATAAGCATTTTGTAAGGCATTCCTCAGAGCCAGTGTTGATTAAGCCATTATTATTTTTTCTAGATATGGGTTTTTAGTTACAAAATAAAATCAAGTGTAAATGGGTACTGACCTAACTTTACAAAATTGGGGAAGTGAAGGTGGTTGAGTGTAATGCTGGTCAAGCTGCCATTTTATGTACTGAAGGTTTAGTATACAGTGTGTGGTATTCACTCTGCCTCTAATGGGTAGTCATGCCTGTGGGACCCCATTTCATTTTTTTACTCAATTAGAGGTGCTGGCCCACACCAGTTGAGACCTTAACCACTAAAAGATATTAGGTATGAACATTGAAGCTCTTTTCATATCCAGGTTATGCTGGTGAGGTATATACACTACACTGTACAGGTATTTGGAGTGTCTTAAATCCTCAAATTTTATTTTTTTTAATTAATTCTCTTCAAATAATTATTTTTAAATATTAATATAAATTATTTATCATCTTCGTATCTTCAGAAAACTGGCTCCTGGATAACAAGGATGATGATGATAATAAACTAGTAATAGGTCAGCTTAATGCAGTACTGTTATTGATAGTGCAGGATGGTTTAATGTTGTTTACTGTGACCGTTCTTATCATAATGGAAAGTGTCATACAGAGAATAAATACAGTATATTGGTATATCACTTTTGAATACATTTTCAGTTCCTACCTGACAAATTATGGATTTATTAGAAAAACAATTAAGAGATCTTAAGTCTGGTATTGATATTTCAGGTCAAATGCGCATGGATCAGATGGAAGAGGAGAAACAGCAGAGTGAATTTGGGAATTGGCCTTCTGCTAGACCTAATGAGCTTCAGCACTTCCCACCTTATTACGAGGGTCAAGAACCTTACCATTATCACGAAGATTGGGGACACGACGATGTATATGACAGAGGAAGAGGAAGAGGCCGAGGAAGGTGGAGATTTCCTAGAGGTCCATGGAGAGGACGTGGCTTCCGGGATAGAGGACGAGGCTTCAGAGATAGGGGTCGTGGCTTCAGGGGCTCTTGGCAGCACAACAAGTTTGGCCCTGAAAGGAAAACAAACCCAGCAACTTGGTACAAGAGCGGAGAGTACAATCCAGACATTTCAGGATCTAGATCACGCTCACACTCAAGATCAAGATCTAGAAGGACCAGCTCCCGTTCACGCTCAAGATCAAGAAGATCACGCTCAAAATCCAGATCTCGGTCAAGATCTAAGAGATATCGCTCAAAGTCCAGATCCAGATCTAAAAGATCACATTCCAAGTCTAGATCAAGATCTAAATCAAAGTCCAAAAGGTCACATTCTAGATCCAAGTCAAAGTCACATAGCAGGTCTCGGTCTAGATCTCACTCTAGAAGTAGAAGAAGTAGGAGTAAGAGGCACAGGCATTCTAGTCGTGAAAGGTCCAGTCTTTCCGCCGATAGACGAAGGGACAAACACAGAAACGAGCGGCACAGAAGAAGCGGCAGCAGGAAAAAAGATAACAACAAGAAGGAGGAGGATATTAATTACAATGACCTTAGAGAGAGTGACCTGGAACTGTCAAGTGATCCAGAAGACCGTTACTATGAAGATGAATATTATGAAGATGATGAATATGGAGAAAATAATTATCAGAATTATTATCCTCGAGGTCATGAGCGTGGAGGCTACTCAAGCTTTAGAAGAGGTTTTCGTGGACGTTGGCCTCGAGGGTGGCGAGGGAGAGGCCGCGGTAATGGGAACCCTAGCTACTACGGCCAGTATGACAATCGTGATGACTGGCGTCAAGATAATGTGGGTAGAAGAGACCCTTACCAGGATATATATGTAAAATATTTTGAGAGTGTTGCTGATCGTGAAACTGCAAATAAGGAAGGAACTATTGAAGAAAGGAGAGCGCGACAAGATTACAGAGACCGAAAGGAGTTTGAGGGTTCTAGGGAACGAGAAGCTGTCCACAGAGTGCCACCGCCCAGTGACAGGAGCAGTAGTCATGCACATGAGGATATTCATGGTGATCCTGGCCCCAGAGGACGTGATGAATATAAAGATCAGAGAAGCATGGAAAAAATTAGGGGCAACAGTGACTGGACAGGAGAATTTGATAAAAAAGGAAGAGGAAGTATTGATAGAAAACCTCAGCCATATAGTGAGAGTCATAAAGGAGACAAGAAATTATTAGATAGAGTAGACTGTGCACAGGAGAGGAGGGTACCAGAGAAGCTCGAACAAAAACATTTAAGAGTTGAAGTGGTTGATGTTAGAAAGCATGACCCTGGCTTAGACTATAGTCAGAGATACAGCAGGGAAAAACCGAGATTTGATAGAGGGGAAGGTGAGGATGTTAGAAAGGACCTGGTTCTACGTGAAAGAGAGAAACAGAGTGAATTAGGAGAGAGAAACAAAAGTGGACAGAGTTATGATAGCAGTTCTCGACTCCCCAGTTGTGTGACAAGGGACCTTAATGAAAAAAGATATGGAGTTACAGAGAAACCAGCTTTTGAAAGAATGCATGAAAAAGATGGCAGTAAAGATTTTGGCATTGATATGAGATGGAAGAATCAGGTTCTAAGAGCTGATATGGAACGAGATAAACGGGAGATATCAGTGAAAGACAGATTGAGTTTTGGAAATGTTAAACGTCATAGCGATATTGAGCTTAACGAAAATAGATCAAAGCATCTTGTTCCGATTAAATCAATGAAAATGAGAAGCATTGAGCTTGCTGAGACTAAAGGACGACGAGACAATGAACGCTTTGAAACGAGGGGGAGACGGGACGTTCATCCTAAAGACCCCAGAGGGAGTCGGGAATTTGTCCGTAATGATAGGAGAGTTAGAGACGACATAAGGCATAATGAAACTAGGGAGAGGTCTGACCCTGAACGTACTGTAGATAGAGACAGACGTGTTGAACATAGTGAATTCAGAAAGAAACGCGAGCATAGTGAAGCCACACAGAGTTATAAGTCTGACAGTGAATCAGATCATAGTGAGTTGCACAGAAAAAGACAGCACAGTGATAGTGGCAGGAAGAGAAGGAAAAGAAGAAAGAAAAAGAGAGATAAAAGAAGTGATGATGCAAGAAAACATAAGCATAAAAAGAAGAAGAAAAGGGGATAAATGAGACACTAAAGTTATTTGTTGTGGAACTCTTTCAGGTTTATAAATTACATGCAGTATAATTTATGAAACTGGTAGAGAATATTGTGGAGAGACTTCGAAAGGCAGTGAAACAAAAGTGAAAACTTGTCATGTTACCTAAAAGTTATTTTCTTTCAGGGAAGAACCATGGACATATATTACTGCAATGATTTTAAACCAAACTCTTTTACAGAACATGACAAATAAGTTAATTAGAAAAGTGGAATTAAACCTTCTTGGACAATGTTTTCTAGTTACACAGAGTGCTAATGTAGTAGATATGTAGTTTTTGTTTGTCGTGGAATAGTTGACTGGCATTCAGAACCACTTTTTACATATCCAGTGTAACAATTGGATCTTTTTCAGGTTTCTCTTTCAGCTTAGCACATTTCTTACACAGGAAGATAATTAATAAACAATTTATCAAATGTTGGAGCAGTGACACTGAGGCATATGGTACAGTATGTAGAACTGAGAGAACTACAATAAGCATAAACGTGATTATGCTATCAGTGCAGTGACATAAGAATCTACAGTATTTCACTGATGTTCAAACAATGCAAATCATAGAAAGGCATGATCTCTGAAAACCTGGATAAATGTAAAATACTGTGGACTGGCAAGTTAAGTGATGGTGCTTCCTACAGAGGATAGATTACGTAATATTGGTGAAAAGCTTCATGTAGTGAATGAACTGATTGAGAGTGATAGTGATCAAAACTTAAGAATTCTTATGTGATTTTGGATGAAGAAATTTTTTTTTTTGTGTAACAAGATATTTCATGCAGTGGTACAGACCAATACACTTCTCAGGAAAACAAAACTTTAGAAAGAATTAAAGTTTCTCGCTGGATTTGATTACGAAAAGACTTTATTTTAATTAAAGATCCATATCTGACAGCTTTCAGTTTGAACAGAGAATGGTGATCATGACAGGTTAATGAGTATTGTAATTTGATATCATGCAGTAAACTGTTTGTCGATTTGTGTGCAATATCTGACTGTATAAGATAAGTACAGTACTGTAATGTAGCACAATGCATATATTTTAAGTAAGGTGTTTTGCAGTCCTCAGTTCTGCAGTACATACAGTACTTGTGTCTTGAAAGTGGGGAATTACATAAACTTGACATAAAGTGAACAAAGTACCTGGTATGTTGATAAGTTTCAAAACTTTTTATATATGTCAAGTTACTTGGCAGTGAACCAGTGAACTCAGTGGTGTGAAAAGAATGTTTGTTGCACAACACACGTTTTTTAGTGACAACTCTTTTATTTTATAATATACTGTACAGTAAAGGGAAAGGAAGAGCATACAGTATGGAACCAGTATACAAGTTTGGTAACACTGAGTACCTTTGGGAAAATGCTGAAATGTGTCTGTCCATAATAAAGAAAATCATTCAGGAAAATTTTTATTTACATAATTTTATAATACAGTAATGTTATTTAATGTGTGTAAATTTAAGTTATTTTATTTTTTTAAATTTGGGTAATTTAGGCAAGATATGAATACGTAGCACTTACTCACTTAAAATTATTTTGCATCTCATTTTTCATGATTATTGTTTAAACCGTGAATAACCAGTGTATAATAGTTTCTCATCCATATATCTTTGAAGCATGTGTGATACAGTGTTGGTGTTTTGATTACTATTAAATTCGGAATTACTGCGCTGTATACTGTAAGGGCAACTCGGCCAACCCGCGTCAGCACTATACAGTATACAGTACACCATACTTTAAATGCAGGTTGTGTCACATGTATTTTGTTTTCTGCATCGTGTTGTATGCTTCTCTCATAGAACGTACTGTAAGCTAGCACAAGTATTTTTTCTTCTTTTCTTTTAGGAGGTTGGACTTGCCCTATTGGTGCACAGTTGTAGGATTTTGCTGAGGAGAAGAGTGGACTATGTCGGTGGTGTATCCCATATAGGAATAAGCCTGGTTGTCAGCAAAAGATGTGTTCTAAAAGTCCTTGCGTATAACAAATTTATGAATGTCGGGGCAATTTTCCAGATAAGAATCATTGTAATTAGGGGGAGGGGTGTTGGTGTATTCCCAGCAGGCAACTTTCACCACATATTTTTTTATATACGCTCCTTATTATCCAAGGCTATTAGGGACCAGGGTTGCATGTATACTGTAGTATGGTACCAGTAAATGTGAGGAATAAATTAAAATTAGTTATGTTAATAAAGAAGAAAATATAAAATACTGCATTGCTATTTTGCAATATTGTATGTAGTTCATTACACACAGGAGACTGGAGTGGCTGAGATCCCCAACACTGCTCCCTCCTCCTCCCACGATCTGCACACTAACTCTCATGCATGTAAGAAATGTTTTTTACTGTCGTGTTTTTGACCTTATTATGATCATTTATTTTTTTGTACATTTTCTATGAATGATTGTGTGTGCATGTAACAGAGTAAAATATATCAATAAAGTTATGCATATGTACCCAAAATTATGAGTTGAAAAATAAAAATAACACAGCTTGGCCTGGTAGGGGGATGTAGCTACAGAAACAGTCCACACATGCTGAATGTTCACTTCATACACACCCATGCTCTTCATTTTTCTTTTAACATCCTGACAATGTGATGTTGATAAAAGACATGGGTATCAGTGTTACCTCTTATTATTAAAATTTAGAACAGTTCAAGTGTGATGTTATTGTAGATAATTTGTTTTAATTTGTATGATACTGTATATGGAAATTCATATTTAAGTTGAAGAAAATGGCCTGTCAGATAAAAAAATGTCTTGGCAGTCAGAGGCAGGGAGATTGTGTTCTTGATCGACTCACCCTGTTGTGCCTACTTACCCTGAATTCTTGACAACTGTGGTCATATTCTCAAATTTCCTCAGGCTCTCACCACAAAACAATGAAACCATGTCTATAGACAAAATACTTGTAAGCGTGGTAAATCCTCTTGTTTTTAATTTAGTTCTGATGGAACTTGGTAGGGTTGTTCTCCTTGGCAAGATCTCTAATTGAAATATAGATGAGTAATTATAGGCATTTTAATACTGTTTTGTATATTATACCTGGAGTAACCAAAACATGGAAATTACCACATTTCATGTTTTGGACTCGTGGCCACAGTTTATTTTTATGCTCAGTATTTTGCCCCCTTATTTTAGACAGTTTTGGCTCATATTGTCTCCTTGGATGACTAATCAGGGTGGTGGTTGACCTGGATCTTGATGTTCTTAGGGGGCAGGGGATACTTTATTAGCTATTTTCATAGTAGAGCAGTGGGCAGGCACATTATGAGTTAGAAGTTGGAGGTGCTGTGCACTAACTGAAAGCATCTGAGTTTAAAAGGCAGGTTCGCCCTTATAGTGGGTTTTGAAAATGAATCTACAGAACTTGTTAAATAAACTTTACTCAAATTAAGAGCATTTTTTGTTATGTTTGCATTTTCAGTTACACAGAGAAAAACTAGATGATTGCAAATGTTCTTTTTCCAAATTGATTGGTTTGAAATTAAAACTCAAACTGGTATATAAAAACATTACTTAGTACAGTTCTGTTACCTACTGGTACCCACTTAAATTTGTATGATGAGAAAGTATTGGAACTAAATTGAAATTGAAATTTGCATTAATTTAGATTGTACATATTTGGTATTTCTGCTCCAGTTGAATCCCCAATACAGTACCAATTTCTTAATTTACAGTATTTGTACACTTCTACTGTTTTAGGCAATTTTGTTTCCAATTTACTGTACAGTGTATAGCAAGTTATTACAGAGAATGGGGTTTCTAGCTAAAATTTTATTGCCACTAAAATGTCACTTACAGGGTGACCCTTTCCTCAACATGTCATCACAGGTATTGATTAATAGTACAAATGTGTTTGGTAGCAGCATCTCATAGTATACAAGTATTGTGCTGGAAAATTGGTGATTATTGACTTTGAGAACACTAATATTTTTGTATGATTTATTTATCTACTTAAAGAGTTTTTTGTCTTGTCCGTCTGTCCATCCAACCATCCATCCTGTGTGACGACATTGGGGGCTCTCTCTTATGATGTCAATCCGTAAAGTTCCCATGATATGATATGATATGATAAGGGTCTTGTCATTTTTATTTTCCTCCGTGCTACTGTTAGTGTCTTCATGGATTTTTATAAATGTACTAAAGTATGATTGTATAAATATCTCATTAATATTCTCTTAATACTGTACGTTGTTGAAACATAGGTAGAAGAGAGCCAAAGTTAAGATGAAGGAAAGGAGGTTGTATGTTAGGGAGGTGTAGGTAATGAAATTTTGTAGGAGTATGAGACTTTCTTCATGGTAAATAGATACCCCGGTAGACAGTAAGTACATACTGGTGAGGTAAGCATGCGAGGAAAGATGAAATGATTGAGTTTGGAAAGAATGGCTTGTGTCTTCCTTGTGGGGATTGTTTTTTGTTTTTGTTTTTTGTTTTTAAGGAAGTGATAGAGAAATTAGAAATATAAGTACAGTACTGTATTTTATACCCACGTCAAGAAATGTGCACACAACACGGTATAATAACATATAATTATACTCCAATTTCTTAAATATAGAAAATTTCCGAGAAAAAGAACACAAAGCGAGCTACCTATTTTGTGTACAGGTATCTAAAATGGCAACACTGCATCTGACGCGACACAGGTTACAGCTGAGCGGAGTATATCGTGAATCAATACTTCTGTGGCCTGTAACGTAAAAAGTACTGTACAGTATAGTCACAGAATGAGTATTGAGGTAAGTGGGTTTTATACTTTTTACCAATTTGTGGAAGTCATTGGCCTCAGCAGGAGAGAGGGGAACAGTATACTTTTGAAAGTGTAAATAACCTTAGTAATGATAGACATCGAACATTGTCACTGGTATTTTGAGGCAAGATTTGTAATAGCCATACTTCAGGTACAGTACCCCAGTTGTGTTTGTGGATGTGTTTCACATATTTTCTCCAATTATTAATACTGAAGTGGAAGTATGATACATTTGATATGTTCCGTATTAGTTTTATTTAATGTACGTACCTTTCAGGAGTTCTACTGCCCCAAGGTGTTCAGTTGTGAGTTGTAGAATTTGCTCATGTTTCAACTAGTCTTGTTGACCTTGAAAATTGCTTGCTGACTTTGGTAAACTCTTAAAAATTGTTTGGCTTCCATGATGTACACATTCATGGCTATTGAAAACTTAATGATAAGGCATGTATTGTACAAGTATTAATTGATAGCACTGTATACTTATAATTTTCTTGTACAGTATATTTGTATATTAGTTTTTTAGAAATGAACCTTATTATGACATGGATGAGTGTACTGTTGTATAGTGACATATTATTTTATTCGGTCTTCAACCCCTGAATAAAATTGTCATGCATTGGCCAAATAGAATATTAAAAGTGAAGGGGTGAAAACATGTCTCAAAAAGATAATAGAGATAGCATTTCATTATTGTCCAGTTATTGTGATGCAGAACTTTGACTGTAGCCCTGAATATTTCTTAAAGTTTCAAGAATGAAGTTGATTGGTATCCAATGTTTGTGCTTGAAGGGATAAAAGGTTTAATTTCCTTTCCATGGGGGATATAGACTGAGGAAATAGCAGTTGTCAGAAAGGAACACAGAGTCCTTGTCTCATGGTCAGGTCAACTTCAGAAGATTGTATGTACATTAGAGACATTTTTTTTGTTTCCCCCTTCTTTTCCTTCTTAAGTACAGGTATTACTGTTACCTGTTATAATTTCAGGATTATGATTATTTCCATCATCTTCATTATTAGATTTTTTTTTCCTCCCTCCTGTTCCTGGCTGTACTGTACTATACAGGTATACTAAATTTGATGGCTATATCACATTATTGTTTTGTATTTTATGTCATCAGTGCATAGACTGTATGGGGAGGTCATTGGTGTACACCTATCTGTTAAGTGTGTATAAACGTTTACCCAAGTTTGTGAAAAGGATTTAGTAAAAAGTATCCTGTTTAGAACATTGAAGTTTGAAGGCTTCTTAGTGAACATTATCTCAAAAATGTATCTGTCCACACTGTGTGAAACACTATGAGACCACAGATGATAGATATTGGGACATGCAATTACAGGTATTTGGTATATAGTTTAACATAAGTAATGCAATGTGTATCTGTTTTAGCATAATTAATATGATGTTCGGTTACCAAATGTAGCAGGACTAATATGCCACAGAGCCATGCATACCAACCCTTCCGGGACATCACAAATTACACATAGCATTTCGGATGGCATCTCCACCCGTGGGAGCTGCCTTGATGTGGTGGTGGGCTTGTGCGTCCTGATGATCCGGTGAGCAGGACCACAGGTATGCTTGGAGGCAAGGAAAGGGTTTCTCAAACTGGGTAGGTCACTGGGGAGGGTTCAGACAAAATGGCTCCTATTCTTCTGCCGGTTTTGAGAGCAGACCGGCAACATCGTCCCCAGCCCAGACTACTGGGGCTGGAATATTCTCCCACGTATTAGCCATGCATGGTATCCCATAATACTGGGAGTCCTGGCAGTTGACTGACGCAGCACACTGTGCCCTATTATGGTAGTAGCAACACACTTCTTTGGTCCCCTACCCCAGTTAGACTGGCGGCTTGGTTGGGTTCGATCAAGTCAATCTGCTGGTCACAGTGTGACTAGGGTCAAGCGGGCATCAGGGGGCCTGGCACTCCTATGGTCCAGGAGCTGCTGCCTTGGCCACTTGGTGGTTACCTGCTTATGCTACCCCTGGGGTCACCAGGGTTTTATCTCTGGCATTGACCTCCCCTAGTTGGGCTCTGTGGTGCATGAGGGGGTGGGGGAATTGAGTAATTCGGGTTTTGTATGGGAGAAACAAACTCAAATAACTCGGCCAGTTACTCCCCCTGATGACCCTGCACCTCTCCCTGGACCCTCCTTTGGATCATCAATTGCTACATTGCAGCCCTATCAGATTGATAAAAGTGGCTCTGGGTCATGGCAATTACCTAAGTATAAGAGCCACAGGAGACCCACTGGCCCTGGCATCCTCCATGAGATCTTACCAGGTGTGTTCAGGCAGGTAGATTTTCAAAATATCTAGTTACCCATACCGTGGAAGGCAAGCTTGTAGTAGACCTGGGCGTTTTTTATGTTTACAGGTTATAAGTAACAATTTGTGGGAGAGAATCAAAAGTATCCTCTCAGCAAGATGGTAGCTTCCTGGTGGAGGTCTCCTTTCCCCAAGGAGAGTGTTTGACTCTGTACCCTGTCTGAGGTACTTGGTGCCCCCAGCCTCCTGTACTCCACAAGCCACCTTTAACCAGTGTTGAGGGGCGGTATTGTCCAAAGAGTTGCTCCGATACTTGAGGAAAAGCTTCTGGAGGAGCTCCAAGTCTAAAAGGTGGTGAAAGTGGATAAGTTCCACAAGAAAGAAAATGGCAATCTTAACCCTTCACAAATTCTGTTATTGACATTTGACCGCTTCGAAATGCCTACCTCTATCAAGGTTGCCGCCTTAAGGTGAAACCATACACCCCAAACCCTAGATGATGCTTCCAGTGTCAGACGTATGGCCGTGTTAGCCACATTTGTCGTAAGTTACAACAGTGTTTTCCTGCAGTATGTGTAACTGTGGTAAAGCCCATGAGGATCAGAAATGTCCAGGTCCGGTCTGCAGTTTTCACTGTAGTGAGGCGCACCCGGCCTCTTCTAGTGAATGTGACCGGTTCCAATTAAAGAAAGAGATACTAAAGATCTGTACAAGAGACAAAGTGAGCTTTGCTGAAGCCAGAAGCACCACTGAAATACTGTATGTCTCAAGGCGACATGTGACCCAAGCTGTTGCGTCGCCAGGGATGTAATTGCCACAATCGATCGGAATTCATCGTACCCATCCTGGCAGATACTTGTTTGAGATACTGTACTGTACATCTAAAAGAGTGTGATTAATATTCCTTAATGTTTTTTGGACTGTGTTAACTGGATTAAGCATAGAACATCCACTTCATAGTAGTGCAAATGTGTTGTTTCTGTTAGAAAAACCTATGTTTGGTTATCTAAATTCTCAAAAAATTTGATGGATTGTTAATAAAGCATATTTTATTGTTTACTTTTTATTGCATGCTTACTATTTTATTTTAGACAATTATGTTTTTTTATTCTTTTTTTTCCTTTGTCAATTTTTACTTTCAAAACTTTGAGACTTTTATACATTTTTGCAATACTAAAATCTGTCTAAAGATTCTGTGGATTGTACTTGAAGACATTGACTGCTTAGATGTGTCACTAATTTAAAAAAAAACGAGGAAAAGTGACTGAATTGGTTTGAAGTTTAAGTTCCTGAAATACTGTACATTGTATGTCTAGTTGTACTGTATTACTGCTTTTGTTGGTAAATTTGATAAGTAAAGTCCTGTATTGTATGTGATTAGTTGCTATTTTTGTTGATCAATTTAGCAATTATGTGTATACAGGTACTCATTGTTTTTATTAATTATGCAAGTGCACACTCTGTTCGATCACTGTTTTTATTGGTTATGTTAGCAAATACTGTACTGTAATTTACTTATTTGATAATTGTTTTTATCGATCAAGTTAGCAAACTTGTTTGATTGCTGTTTATTTGGTCATTGTTGAACGAGTCACATGTATTTGTTTTGGCTATTTGGGGAGGGGGGGTTAACATTTGCAATTATGAGGGATCACATGAAGATTAGTTCATCATCATATTTCACTGATTATTAAACACTACCCTAACACTACATGGCTAGGTTAGGGTGGGTTAGGTTAGGTTTAATTAAGGTAAGGTTAGGCAGCATTAGGGCAGTTAACATTAAGGTGAAAGAGACTGGAGCTACTTTTCCTCGTGTGATCTAGTATAGGCTTTAGTTACTTCATTAAAACCTCTTTTACCCACTAATCAGTATGATGGTAGATGGAAATTCCTCTCCTAGAAACTATTAGTGTTGGGTATTTACAGTTTAGCCTCCATGTAACAGGTGATGCATTATTTGGAGGTTTCATTTCTAAAGGAGCTCAAGTTAATGGACTCCCCTCCCATAATCTATTATTTGGAGGTTTCACATTTAACGGATTTCCCTCTCCATATAATGCGTTAGAAGGGGTTTTTTCTGTATGTCAAGAAATTGTAAGCTTTATTGCTCCCATATTCTAAGGTTCATGATAAGATGATGTGAAGGGAAAAGTGTATAGGTATTAATGCCATTTATTTCATACTTTGTAAACACCATTGTCACTATTCATACAGATTGAGGAGTCTTCTTAACAAAACATTGGAGTCGATTGCATTTTGATTTTCAGATAAGTTCAGCTTTAGGATGCCGAGGCCTATTTACATGATAATAAGTACAGTACTAGTACAGTATACTGCACTGTACTGTACTGTACTAGGTCCAATCCAAACCTCAGGTATGACTACTGTTATTTTTCTATTTACATCACTGCTTCCTTTCTCTTGTATTAAAGATATTTTAATGGTGCAGTATATACAGTACAGTACATACTGACATGATTTAGCTGAGCTGTTGTTCAGTAATTTTAAGTTTTATATATATATATATATATATATATATATATATATATATATATATATATATATATATATATATATATATATATATATATATCCAGTAAACCAAAACTTAAAATTACTGAACAACTGAACAACCTTTTCAACTTTCTTCCATCCAACCCTCCTCTTTCTCTTTCCACTTAACCTCCAACCCTTCTACTACTCTACACCCTGCAACTCTTCCCTAACCTTTTCCACTTCTACTCTCCCTTTCCACGCCCTTCAACTTTCTCTCACTCCTTCCACCCTTTCCCATCCTTCTTTTTCCACACCCCTTCACCTCCCACTTCTCGTCTTTCTTTTTTCACTTTATTTCCACGACTCCCACCCCTCACCCCTTATCTTCCCACCCTCTCTTTCCACTCTTCCACCCCTCTCCTTCTCGCCCCTCTCTTTTCCACCTATCCCTCTCTTCTTCCACCCCTCCTCCTCTCTCCTTTCCACTCCCTCCCTCTCTCCTTCCAATCTCCCCCTCTCCTTCCACTCTTCCACCCCTCTCCCTGCCTCTTTCCAATTCTCCTCTCTTCCACCTCCCTTCTTCCACCCTCCTCTTCCACCCTCTCCTTCCTCTTCCACCCTCTCCTTCCAATTCTTCTTCCACCTCCTCTCTTTCCACCTCTCTCTTTCTTCCACCCTCCTCTCTTCTTCCACCTTTCTTCCAGCCCTCCCTCTCCCACCCTCCTCCCCTCTCTCCCTCTCCTTCCACCTCCCTCCTTCCACCACCCCCTCCTCCCACCACCCCCCTCCTTCCACCCTCCTTCCAATCTCTTCTTCCACCTCTTTCTTCCACCCTCCTCCCTCCCTCCTCCCACCTCCTACCCCCTCCCCCTCCTTCCACCACCTCCCCCTTCCTTCCACCCCTCCCCCTTCCACCTCCTCTTCTTCCATCTCTCCCACTTCCCTCCTCACCCCTCCCCTCCTTCCACCACCCTCCTCCCACCACCTCCTTCCACCACCCTCCCTCCCACTCACCCTCCCTCCTCCCACCTCCTCCTTCCACCACCTCTCCACTCCTCCCATCTCTACCACCCTCTCTCCACCTTCCACCACTTTTTCCACCCTCCCCCTCTCTCCAACCCTCCTCTCCTTCCACCCTCCCCTCCCTTCTCACCCCACTCCTCTCCTTCCCTCCCCACCCTCTCCTACCTCCCCACCCCTCTCCTACTCCTCCCCCACCCCCCTCCCTTCCACCTCTTTTCTTTCTCCTCCCCTCTCCTTCCACTCTCCTCTCCCTCCAACCCTCCTACTCTCTTGCATTCCTCTCCTTCTTCCTCTCTTCTCCCTCCTCTATTTCCAACACCCCTCCCTCTCCTTCCACTCTTCCACCCTCTCCTCTCGCCCCCTCTCTTTCCACCTCTCCCTCTTCTTCCACCCCTCCTCCCTCTCCTTCACCCTTCCCCCTTCCACCACCTCCCTCTCCTTCCACCCCTCCTCTTTCCAATTCCCTCTCCTTTCACCCCACCTCCTTTCACCCCACCCCCTCTCCTTCCACCCCACCCCCTCTCCTTCCACCCTCCTCCTCACTTTCCACCACCTCCTCCCCTCTCCTCCCACCTCCATCTCTCCCTCTCCACCCCTACTTCCTACCCCCTCTTCTTCCTCTTCCCTCCCTATTTCCAACACTCTTCCTTCCTTCCACCTCCCTCCTCCTTCCACCCTCCCTCATCTCTTCCACTCTCCCCCCTTCCACCCTCCCCATCTCCTTCCACCCTCCCCATCTCTTCCACCCTCTCTCCTTCCACCCTCTCTCCTCTTCCCTTTCCACCTCTTTCTTCCACCTCTCTTCCACCCTCCCTCTCCCTTCCACCCCTCCCCATCTCCTCCTCTACTCCCTCCTTCCACCACCCCATTCCCTTCCACCACCTCCCCTCTCCTTCCACCACCTCTCCTTCCACCACCCTCCCCCTCCCTTCCACCCTCCCTCTCCTTCCACTCCCTCCCATCCTTCCACCCCTCCTCTCTCCACCCTCCCTCCTTCCACCCTCCTCTCTCCTTCCACCCTACCCTCCTTCCACCATTCTCCCTCTCTCTTTCCCAACCCTCCCATCTCCTACCACCCTCCTACTAATTTCTCCCTCTCCTACCACCTCCCTCTTTTTTCCACTCCCCTGCCTCTCCTTCCACCCTCCCCTCTCCTTCCACCTTTCCACCACTTTTTCCATCCCTCCCCCCTTCCAACCCCTCTCTCCCTTCTCCTTCCACCCTCCTCCCTCCCTCTTTCCACCCCACTCCCTCTCCTTCACCTCTCCTTCCACTCCTCCCCTCTCCTTCCACCACCCTCTCCTACCACCCGTCCCTTCTCCTTCCACCCTCCACTTCTCCTTCCACATCCCCTCTCTCCACCCCTCCCCCTCCTTCCACCCTCCCCCTTCCACCCCCTCTCCTTTCCACCCTCTCTCTCTCTCTCTCCACCCTCCCCCTTCTTCCACCTGTCCCTTCTCCTTCCACCCTCCCCTTCCACCCCCTCCACTTCTCCTTTCCACCTTTCCCCACGTCTTCCTTCCACCCTGCTCCCTCCTGTACAATACAGGTACAGTACTTTTATATATGAAGGGACCTTGTTTTGTTTTCAGGGGTAGTGATGAGAACTGTGATACACTGGTTAAAGATTTATATGTAACGCATTTTCCTATTGCTCTCTGTGGTTACCAAAATGTAATTTTTGCCATATTTGAGCGGAAGTCCTTTGAGTTAATGAACTTCACGTTATAAGTAGTCCATTTTATTTTTTAATTGGTGTCTTTTTAGATCTAAGAGTTCATGGATTTATCATAGGTATAGATTTTATTATAAATTCCTGTATCTTCTTAGCCCTCCACTCCAACATCAAGACAGCGCTCTGGATGCCCATTACCCAAGATAACATCTTTTTACAGGTCTGAGGCGAAATGTTTCCAAATAAAATTAAGGACTGAGTCATCTATTGTTGTTTTATTGGACCCATTTAATTCCTCAACCATAGCTTCATAATATCAGTAAGGAGATTGTAACAAGAGCTTGGGTGGTGCGTCAAATTGTCGAAAAGTGGAAGGAGAGAGAGGATGTGGTGAAGAAGCGGAAGTGGAAGGATGAAGGCTGAAGTGGGATGCAAAACGAGAAGGGAGGTGTTCAGAGATGCTTCTCCTACACACCACACTGAAGCAAAATAGGTTCGGTTGGGGACAAATAAGTCCAGTAGATTATCATAGAAAACGGGAAATTTGTATCATAAAAAATGGGAAATATCTACTTTCCGGGAAAGTTGGTTATCTACTTTCCCGAAAAGTAGATAGATTTTCTACTTTTCGGGAAAGTAGATTATCGACTTTTCGGGGAACTAGATTTTCGAATTTTCGGGGAAATATTACCTAATTTTGCGAAGTAGATTATCATAGAAAACGGGAAATTTGTATCATAAAAAATGGGAAATATCTACTTTCCGGGAAAGTTGGTTATCTACTCTCCCGAAAAGTAGATAGATTTTCTACTTTTCGGGAAAGTAGATTATCGACTTTTCGGGGAAGTAGATTTTCGAATTTTGGGGGAAATATTACCTAATTTTGCGAAGTAGATTATCATAGAAAACGGGAAATTTGTATCATAAAAAATGGGAAATATCTACTTTCCGGGAAAGTTGGTTATCTACTTTCCCGAAAGTAGATAGATTTCTACTTTTCGGGAAAGTAGATTATCGACACTTTCGGGGAAGTAGATTTTCGAATTTGGAAATATTGCCTAATTTTTACTTGATAGGTATCATAGAAAACGGGAAATTTGTATCATAAAAATGGGAAATATCTACTTTCCGGGAAAGTTGGTTATCACTTTCGAAAAATGAATATATTCTACTTTTCATTGAAAGTAGATTATCGACTTTTCGAGAATTACATTTTCAGATTTTGGAAATATTACCTAATTTTGCCAAGTAGATTATCATAGAAAACGGGAAATTTGTATCATAAAAAATGGGAAATATCTACTTTCCGGGAAAGTTGGTTATCTACTATCTCGAAAAGTAGATAGATTTTCTACTTTTCGGGAAAGTAGATTATCGACTTTTCGGGGAAGTAGATTTTCGAATTTTGGGGGAAATATTACCTAATTTTGCCAAGTAGATTATCATAGAAAACGGGAAATTTGTGTCATAAAAAATGGGAAATATCTACTTTCCGGGAAAGTTGGTTATCTACTTTCCCGAAAAGTAGATAGTTTTTCTACTTTTCGGGAAAGTAGATTATCGACTTTTCGGGGAAGTAGATTTTCGAATTTTGGGGGAAATATTACGTAATTTTGCCAAGTAGATTATCGTAGAAAACGGGAAATTTGTATCATAAAAAATGGGAAATATCTACTTTCCGGGAAGTTGGTTATCTACTTTCCTGGAAAGTAGATTATCTACTTTTCGGGAAAGTAGATTATCGACTTTTCGGGGAAGTAGATTTTCGAATTTTGGAGGAAATATTACCTAATTTTGCCAAGTAGATTATCATAGAAACCGGGAAATTTTTATCATAAAAAATGGGAAATATCTACTTTCCGGGAAAGTTGGTTATCTACTTTCCCGAAAAGTAGATAGATTTTCTACTTTTCGGGAAAGTAGATTATCGACTTTTCGGGGAAGTAGATTTTCGAATTTAGGGGGAAATATTACCTAATTTTGCCAAGTAGATTATCATAGAAAACGAGGAGATTTGTATCATATAAAATGGGAAATATCTACTTTTCCGGGAAGAAGTTGGTTTATCCACTGAAAATGAATATAACCTCTACTTTTCGGGAAAGTAGATTATCGACTTTCGAGATTTACGAATTTTGGAAATTTACGCAAAAGTAGATTATCATAAGCGGAATTTGTATCATAAAAATGAAATATCTGTTGGAAAGTTGGTTCTTTCCCGAAATAGATAGATTTTCTACTTTTCGGAAAGTAATTATCGACTTTTCGGGGAAATAGATTTTCGAGTTGGAAATATTACCTAATTTGCCAAGATTATCATAGAAACGGAAATTTGTAATCATAAAAATGGGAAATATCTACTTTCCGGGAAAGTTGGTTATCTACGACTTTCGGGAAAGTGG